CACGCGAGTAGGTACCCTGTTAGATCCAGGATCGACGCGGTCTTACATCTCAGAAAAAGCAATTCGAAAATTGCATCTGCGAATGAAGGTAAAAGACTTACCTACACCTATCACATCTATACTGGCTGATAAGAGCACGATCACTGTCTCTCAATACATCGATTGTGTTAAGTGTTATTTCGGGACGAAGGAAGGTAAGAAGATTCTACACGAGATATCCTTTCTTATAGAGAAGAATTTACCCTTCGACGTGATTCTGGGAATGGATTGGCATGAAGAAGCCGACCCAGACGTCACATCCAAGGATAAAATTGTCAAACTCAAGTACGAGAAGTCCGAACTTCGAGTGATCAAGTTATATCATAGGTCTGACTCTGACTCTACTCTGTCTTTCTGTTGTATGAGTTACCCATCTTTTCGTTCTATGGTACTAAAGAAGAAGTTGGATCAGGAGGTGATGATGGTGCTTGTCAAGCGAGTCGGTGAGTGTTCCTCATCCTATCCACCTTCTATCGAGAAACTTCTTGACGAGTATAAGGACTTGCAAACTGAGCCGACAAGAATCACTGAGCGTACTATTAAGCACACAATCGACATCAATCCCGGAAGCAAGATTCCCAAGGGTCCCATCTACCGAATGTCTCCCAGGGAACTTGAGGAACTTCGAAAGCAGTTGCAAGAACTTACTGACAAGGGATGGATTCGTCCTAGCTCATCTCCTTATGGTGCACCTGTCTTATTCATGCCCAAAAAGAAAGGTGAGCTTCGTTTATGTATTGACTATCGTGGGCTGAATTCCGTCACTGTTAAAAACGTGAAACCTCTTCCACACATTGACGATCTATTGGATCAGTTGCAGGGGTGTAGACAGTTTAGCAAGATTGATCTCAAGTCAGGGTACCACCAAATAGAAGTGGCTCTTGAGGATCAACACAAGACGGCATTCCAAACCAGATATGGTCACTACGAGTTCATGGTTATGCCATTCGGATTGACCAACGCACCTACGACCTTCCAAAGGTCCATGAATGAGTTATTTCGACAATGGCTCGATCAATTCGTAGTAGTCTATCTCGACGATATTCTAGTGTACAGTAAAACATTGAAAAATCACGAGAAACACCTACGAATGGTCTTGCAAAAGTTGCGCGAGGGCAACTTCAAACTGAATCCAAAGAAGTCTGAGTTTTCCAAGCCTGAAGTCTTGTACTTGGGGCATATAGTGAACGAGGAAGGACTAAGGCCTGAAGAAAAGAAGATTACAGCAATCAGAGATTGGCCACAACCTAAGACTATAACTGAACTAAGATCTTTTCTAGGACTTGCTAGCTACTATAGGAAATTCGTCAGAAACTTCTCCCTAATAACTGCTCTTATGAGAAAATTACTGAAGAAAGAAAAACCTTGGTTGTGGGATAAAGACTGTGAATCATCGTTTAAGAAATTAAAGCATGTTTCGACTCACTATCCTGTCCTAAAGATTGCTGACCGTTCTCTTCCTTTCATCGTCACCACTAACGCAAGTCAGTATGGGATTGGGGCTGTGCCACAACAAGACAGCGGTAAGGGATATAGACTTGTTGAGTTTATGTCCAGGAGACTTCCGTCAGAAAAAGTGGCCAACTCCACATATGAAAGAGAATTGTATGCCTTAGTTGCTGCACTAGATACCTGAAAGCACTACTTGTTAGGGAAGCATTTCACTTCTATTTTGACCACTCAACCTTAAAGTGGATCAAGACTCCGCCGAAGCTCTCCGACAAGTTGGTAAGGTGGTCCACATTCCTTGACACATTTGACTTTGAGGTGGCAACCATCAAAGGTAAGTCTAACGTGGTTCTAACGTGGTTGTGGATGCTTTGTCCAGGCGTGCAGATTCCTTTGGAACTATTGTCTCTTCTCTCGATATTGGAAGTGAACTGAAAGAACAGGTCCGTCGGGATTATGGGAGTGATCCTATTTGGAGTCCTATTATTGAAACTCTACAAAAAAACCCTGAGTTGTTTCCAGAATATAGAATGACTGATGGCTTACTCTTCTTACTGGATAAAACCGAAGAACGATTGTGTGTTCCTCACATAGAACCAATCAAGAGTTTAATTATTGGGGAATGCCATGATGCGAAAGGTCACTTTGGTTTTAAGAAGACGTATGTCGATGTAAGTGAACGTTTTGAATGGAAAGGAATGAAGGAAGATGTACTAACGTATGTGGGGACTTGTCTTGTCTGTCAGAGGAACAAGCCCTCACATGAGAATACGATGGGACTATTAAGACCGCTGCCAATTCCAAGTGAGCCAGGTGAGTCCATCTCAATTAACTTTATGAATCTTACTAAGAGTAAAAATGGCAACAGTCAGGTAATGGTCATTGTCGATAGATTCTCCAAGTATGCTATGTTTATTCCTTTGCTTGTTGAAGCTAGAATTGAACTCGTCATTCAAAAGTTTCAAATGTGATGGGTCTCTGAGTATGAACTTCCCAAAACCATTGTATCTGACAGAGATGTTCGGTTCACCAGTCTACAATGGCAGAAGTTGATGGAGGTCTATGGGACCAGGTTGACCATGTTGTCAGGTAGACATCCTGAAACGAATGGCCAAACTGAACAAATGAATCGTCTTTGCCAACAACTTTTGCGAATGTATGTCCGTCTTGACTAAATTGATTGGAATGAGAATTTGCCTAAAATTGCTAGTGCTTATAATAATAGTATACATACTGTCACAGGTAGAACACCTAACGCACTGCATAACGGATGGAAGCCTAGGCATCCCATTGATGCACTAACCAGGGACCAGATTCAAAGGCTACCCCCAGATATGTGTGAATTCGCAGTTTTGTACGAAGAAGACATTAAGGAAAACATACAAAAATCCCAACTGCAGATGATCGAACAAGCTAATAAACATCGTCGTCCTTCACAGTTCCAAGAAGGGGACTTTGTTTGGGTTAAGTCTAAAGAGTTTTCCTTAGAAGAAAATGTAACCCTGAAACTGCTACCTGTCTACTACGGACCCTGGGAAGTTCTCAAAGTGATTAGAGGTGAAGATGGACCTTCCTATCGTATAGATGTAGCTCCACATCTAAGGACATAACCTGTCTTTCATGCGTCTAAACTGCTACCCTACGTAGAAAGTGATAACTTTCCACATAGACCATCTCCATTCCCACCCTCTATGAATGGAGGCTATGAAGTTAAAAGAATACTGGAACATGGCTATTTCTCTACAGGTGGCAGGGGACGACCTCAGAAGCAGTAGAAGGTAAAGTTGAAGACCCAACCTTCATCTAAAGCCAGATGGTTTAGTAGGAAAAAACTCCTACCCATTGTTGCTGCATATGAACGTGGGTTAACTGAGAATTGATGTAATTTCTGCGATGGAACTTGAAAACTGGGCCAGCAGGAATGCAATAACCCATGCCATATGTCTCGTGGAAGCTGAGGGTCATCTGAGGGCCTACTTGGCCGCCCTCAGCCCAGGCTGAAACAGGGGAAAAAGACCCCACACGAATTCAGGGCCTGGGTGTGTGACAGTTGACTTTAGTCAACTGTCAACTGTCGGTCCACTAAACAATCAAAGTCCAAAGGTACCTAGCCCAGACCGCTGGTCAGGCACACACAATTGTTTGTATGCAGGTACCCAGACAGCATCAGGTCCAAAGGAGAAGTCTACAACAATTCGGGCCTTCAAATGTGAGCGAATCTGGACGACTGTGGTGGAAAGCACCGAGGCCAGACAACCTCGACAACTGCTACTTAAGGCTGGCCTCGAGTGAGTCAAGCATTCAGTCTTGCTATGCTTCTTTGACACTGGCTCGACTTTGAGTAGGCGCTGGCTTCATGCTGGCACGATGCTGGCTACACGCTGGATGTGCTCAGGCGTTGCGGACGACGGCACGAGGAGGAGGCAGCATGCTGGCACTTCCTGCATTATGCGCCAGGCTTGCTGAGGTGGCATGCTGATGTGGCGCTACCTATGGTCTACATTGCATGCTGTTGTGGTGCTACCTCTGGTTTACATTGCATGCTGATGTGGCGCTACCTCTGTTTTACATTGCATGCTGATGTGGCGCTACCTCTGGTCTACATTGCGTGCTGATGTGGCACTACCTCTGGTTTACATTGCATGCTGATGTGGTGCTACCTCTGGTCTACATTGCATGCTGATGTGGCGCTACCTCTGGTCTA